TTTCTAGAGACAGAGCGAGTAGTACATTTTGTTCTTTTCCTATTAAGAGTAAAATATGAACATATACTTTAATGCAACATAAAACTCATAAAAGCGTTTCCTCTTTAACAACCCCTTATGAGCAAGCACTTTGGTGACAGTGGCAAAGAAAAGCTTTTTAACAAGAAGACTCGGGCAGAACCAGGCACAGGGAGGGTCAGCCATTCTGTCACGACCAGTTGGAGTGAGGGAGGGAGAGAGGACAAAAGACATGCTGTGGAGTTGGTTCTTCAGTAGGTGATGCTGCCTAAATGAAGTGAAAATGTTGCCCGTCTTATTGTCACTTTGGATGAAAACTTGAAATACATCAGTTTGCTCCATTATCCAACACTTTTTGGGGGTTTTCTTTCCTTAAATGTTACATTTAAATAAAGCCAAAAATGTCCTCCAGTTAAGGTATAATGCGATGCTAAGATCCCTGGAGAGTGTTTCCTAAACCTATATCTGCCAAAAACTTTGCAGTCACGTAAAATAATTTTAATGTAATTATGCATGTCTTTATCTGAAGAAACAAAAGAAACGCAGTTTTATTTAGGCAGTCTCAACTTGTAAAGAATGAATTCACACATGCGTTTATATATTTGCATTTACACAAGTATGACAATGAAGAATATGAAATACCCTCAAAACTGTCATGTCTCATTATACCCTGCAACTTCAACAGCTTCAGAGAATTATATTTCGCATGCAGAAATATATTTTAATAAACAGATCTTTAAGGTAAAATGACACAAAGGACTTACTGTTCTCATTTTTATCATCCGCAAATCTCTTTTTCTTCAAGATAATTCCTTTTTTCCTTTTGGGTTTCTCATATTTTTCCCATGGAAATCCTGGAAGCAGGCTTTCAAGGGATTTATCCATTTTTTATTTTTCAATATTAGATATCGCCTTCCTAAACAGACTTTAGAGAAGAAAAGTTATTTTCAGCTAAAATAACGCTCTTGAATCACTTAAATCAATTACAGTCACAATCATTTAATAAAAAAGTGACAAGTGTCACGAAGTACAAGGTGGACTCACGCGCTGGACTCCGAGGATGATGCACACAAGAGAATTTATTAAAGAACAATATCCAATGAGTGTATATACACAGATGCAGGGCAGTGCTATGTACAAAAGGTGAGGGAGGGGGGCAGGGCTCCTGGGAAAATCCAGGGGAACACGCTCGTCTCTCTCCACACAATCCAAACACGAATCCACTCACACACCAGGGAAACAGTCCAAGGAATCTGTACACAAAAAAACGCTTGTTAGATTCTAAACACACACTGCACGGGAAAATACTTGCTGGGACGCTTGACTTTCACTGATGCGATTCTCACAACAATCCAGCAAAGAACAGCCGTTGCTTCCTGTCTTAAATACCATCCACACTGATGAGGCACAGGTGTTTCTTCCTCCGAGGGCGTGGGCCAAGGGCGTGAACCCATAATGAGTTCAGCCCTGG